TACAATATCCTATAAATATATATTCAAATTCATATATTAAATATATAAATAATAAAATTTTTATGATATTTATATGAATCCCCTTATTTATTAAAGAATATCATAAATGCAAATCTTAATTATGTGAAAAAAATTAGCTAATAAATTCATGAATTAATAACATAATCTAACTTCCTACCCGCCATCCCCTATCAAATCCTCTAATCTCTCTCCGCCACAAACCCATCGATATAAAGAGCTACAAGAAGAAACTGAACGAAAGAGAGAGAAACCTTCCCGAGCCATCAATGGCGGTCCTCGCTTCTCGCCTCTAACCTCTTGTGTTTTCTACCTGTCGTCTTTTTCCTTAGCCACATAAATAACCCTAAAGCCTCGTCGCCCTCATTCGCCAAGACCAACAGAAAAAAGACCGAATTGGGCAAAATGTATAAATGGCTCTCGCTCAATCGCCTTTTTGAATTTTGAGGTTCGGTCGTGTGGTCTCCGGCCATTTTAATTTCCACCTTGACCAAAACCTTTAATTCCGACCTCTTATTTATTTTTTTTTTCTTTTTAAATTCATGTGAATTAGAAGAAAAAGGAGAAGGAAGAAATGGAGAATCTAATTGTTGGCTCTCGCCTTTCTTTTCTTCTATTCTTCTTCCTCTTTTTGTTTTTCGATGTTGTTCGTCCTGACATTGGCGAATTCGATGAGTATTGGAAGAAACGCGCAGAAGCCGCTCGTGATGAAGCACATGCGGCCTATAATCCTGATCCTATTGCTGCCACAAATGACTTCAATAAGGCCGTCCACAAGTAAACTTGTTATTGTCATGCAATCCGATTGTCCTAATGGTTGATGATTTTGTTATTATTAAGGAGGAAATATTGTTACGTGTAGAGTTTGGTGATTCAATTATTGACGAAAAATTATTACGAAAAAATGACAGTTTTATGATTAAATTTCTGCCTTTAAAGCTCACAAACATGAAATGCAGGGCTTTGGATAAGAACGAAACAATTAGCAGCAGCAGCAGCAGCAGCAGCAGCAGCAGCAGAAGGGGATTATGGTCATTAAGAAGGGGGAGAAAAAAGAAATATGGCGGACCCTGCCGCGCAACAAACCCAATCGACCGCTGCTGGCGTTGTCGCTCCGATTGGGCTCACCACCGGAAACGTCTCGCCACCTGCGCCAAAGGCTTCGGCCGCCGCGCTGGAGGTGGCCGCAACGGCCGCTTCTACGTCGTCACCGACCCCTCCGACCACGACCTCGTCAATCCCCGCCCCGGCACTCTCCGGCACGCCGTCATCCAAACCCAACCCCTCTGGATTGTCTTCGCCCGCGACATGATCATCCGCCTCAGCGAAGAACTAATCGTCAACAGCTACAAAACCATAGACGGCCGCGGCGCCAGGATCCACATCGCTTACGGCGCCCAAATCACCATCCAATTCGTTCACCACATCATCCTCCACAACCTCCACATCCACGACATCAAACCCGGCAACGGCGGCATGATTCGCGATTCCGTCAACCATTACGGCTTCCGCACCCGCAGCGACGGCGATGCGATTTCGATATACGGTTCTTCGAACATCTGGATCGATCACATTTCAATGTCCAACTGCGCGGACGGGCTGATCGACGCGATCATGGGGTCGACGGCAATCACTGTGTCCAACTGCCACATGACGAACCACGACGATGTGTTTCTGTTCGGTGCGAGCGATTCGTATTCGGAGGATGCTCTGATGCAGGTAACTGTAGCTTTTAACCATTTTGGAAGGGGATTGGTGCAGAGAATGCCGAGGTGTCGGTGGGGGTTTGTTCATGTGGTGAATAACGATTACACGCACTGGTTGATGTATGCGGTTGGTGGGAGTAGTCATCCGACGATAGTGAGTCAAGGAAATAGGTATATCGCGCCACCAAATCGGGCGGCGAAGGAGGTGACGCATAGGGATTATGTTGGGGAATGGGAATGGAGGAATTGGCATTGGAGATCAGAAGGGGATCTGATGTTGAATGGGGCGTTTTTTGTTCAGTCGGGGAAGAAGGAGTTCATAAGGAAATATACGAAGCAGGACATGATAAAAGCCAAGCCTGGCACTTTTGTGAAAAGATTGACGAGGTTTGCAGGAACTTTGCGTTGTAGAGTTGGAAGGCAGTGTTGAGCTGCTGATTGCTTCACTCCTTTGGTGTTGGGAGAGTATATGGAATTTATTTCATGTTCTTTATTTTTTTCTTCATAAAAGTGCTTCTTTTATGGGATATATCATATGTGATTCTCATATTGTGTGACTATGTGTTTTTTTTTTTTTAAATTATATATTGAGTACTTTCTTAAAGTTGTAGTAATTGGAATGGAGAAGCACTGTATCATGAATATTATATATAGGTACATTGAATGAATGTTTGGAAATTCTTTGATGATTGAGAATAAGGGCATTTGAATAGATGCTGAAGTTGTTCAACAATTATTGAGAATGCTGGTCATAACAAATTTTATGAGGACTTTTCTGGTATTATTAGTGTTGTGATTTTTCGAAAGAGACTCATGCGGTAGGGAGTCATAAATGATTCGATCATTCTTTTTCGAGGGGCGGAAATAGGGGTGCAACCGAGTCAAGTCGGCTCGGGCTCGACTCGTTAGCGGGCTCGACGAGTTGAGTTTATGGAGCTCGCGAGCCTAGCTCGAACGCAATTTCGAGCTCAATAGCATAATGAGCCTGAGTTCTGGGGCGGGAAAATGGAATGATGCAGGCGGGAAGACGAACGCGGGGAAAATGAAGGCCACAACTCGTTCAGACTTCGGAGCAAGAGGAAGATGTTGGTAGCGAGCATCCGGTTTGCTTCCTCAGCCTTCATCTTGGATAGCTCTCATTGCTCCTCCACCGGCACAAGCTCTCGCAAGCGACGTACTCCCAGGAGGCGGTTCATCGGTATCGCCGATGCCAACGTTAATAGGCTGAGACGTCAAAGCCACTACCGCGAGCGACGTCGAAGCATGTTGCTCGGTTCACCCACATCGTCGGCGCCGACGTCAAAGTCACCACCGGCAACATCACAGGTGAGCTAATCTTTCTCCTTTGAATATCTTAGAGCATCCGCTTCTCTCCCCTCCTAAAACAATCGAGCTTGCGGACGATGCATAACCGGTGGGAAGACGTAGAGGACGCAGGCGCTGATGCAAGAAGACGACGCAGGGCTCTTTAACATGCTTAAAGTGCGGCTCGACGAGCTCAATTTCTCTTGCCGAGTCGAGCTCGACTCGAACACACCTTGATTCAAACTCGACTCGACTCGTTTGCACGCCTAGACAGAAAGAATCGTAGGCCTTTATGCTCCAACATAAAAAAATCAATAGAAAAACAAAATGATCACACATGCATTTGCTTTTGACTACTTTATTAAAAAGAGTTTTCTTTTATGGCTCCAGTGAGCAAAATATGCAAACGAGGTATAAATTGTAGAACACCATTAGACTTGAGTTGAGATTAGTTCAATACAAGCTCTTCATATATGTAGCACATAAACGCTCCTGCC